GTAAAGGGACAGCCAGTGGCTTCCAAGCTGGGTTCAGGCTCAGAGGCCGTGACAGAGGCCAGGCACAGGTCCTCTCTCAGGCCGAAGGGTCTAGCCTCCTGTCCCTTGTGAGTGCAGTCTCCCAACCAGAAGGGGCCTATGTCTACTGGCGCCTCCTCACTCCAGTCCCAGCCTCCCTGGGAGTTCATTCTGGGTCTGGATTGGTGCTGGAGGAGTCGGGAGCAGGGCGGCGGGGGGGGGGGGGGGGGGGGGGGGGGGGGGGGGGGGGGGGGGGGGGGGGGGGGGGGATCTGCTATATCCTGCTCTCTGAGGAGGGTCCCTGGGCTCAAATGTGGGAGACCTGTGCCTGCTAGAGAGGGAATGCAGCCACATGGACCCCGAGAGCTCCATGAATAAAGGGGCTTCACTGGGAGGCAGGCACACACACACACACACACACACACACACACACACACACACCACACACACACACACAGGAGGCCAAGTGAGGAGATAAAACTGCAGCTTCTGGAAAATTCTGACAGCCAGGCAAAATGGAACTGGACAGGGTGTGAGTGGACTCTCTCCCTTCCAGGCCCGGGCTCGCCTGGGCTGCGGCCTTGCTGACAGCAGGGAGCAGGGGCAGGCAGACAGGAACTGCTGTTAGATGGGAGCCTTTCAGAGCCTGGGAACACAGATTCCGGGGACACTCGGCTCCGTCCTCCTCTCCCCTCACTTCCCTCTTTAAAGACAAAAAGCAACCTCAGACGACGCTGGGGTGGTGGGTGGTCTGTTTGGTGGGGGAGGTCAAGGCCAGCACTCGGGGCTCTGCAGAGAGGAAGGCCTGAGTCCACCTGGAGGGCTGTGATGATGAGGAAGGCTGCTGGGTCCCAGGGAGGAGGGCTTGAAAGGCGGAGATGGGCAAGGGAAGTGGCAGGCCAGGGGGAGACTGGAGCCTGCAAGCCTGAGGCTCCCTGAGGCCTAGACTGGTCTGGCTCTCTCCAAGGTGCTGACAGGCTGGTGGGTATTGGGGTGCAGGTGTAAGGGACCTGCATACTCTATGGGGCTCTTCACCAGGTCCTAGTCTTGCCCCATACCCTGCCTCTAGCCTATTTAAGGGGTTCAGAGGTTGGCAGGGTTTGGGGAGTAGCCAACATTCAGAGCCAGACCTCTTGTGAGGCCACCAGAGACTGAACAGGGGGTGACGGTGACTGTAACCTCCTCACTTGAGGTCCCTCAGTGCTACTTTCCCAGGGCCTGAAGCTGGGTCCTGGGATCTCAGCCACTAAGACTGGGTCTCAGGACAGGGGGGTGGCCTAAGGCATTTTCATGCTACATTTCCATGTTCTGACACCATCCCTGGGAGGCTGGGTCTGGAAGAAGGAACCCCACAGGACATAAAGAACAGGGGCTCCCAACACACAGCCACCAGGGATTTCATAAGGGCCTCCTGGGCAACTTCACTCCCTGAGGATGGAGTACTGGATGCAAACAGAGGACATGGGGGCAAAGGAGCCCCAAAGGGAATGAGGTCCCCAGAAACAGCTGCACTCAGTCTCCACCACCGGTCCCTCTGTGGGCTCCCCTCACTCACCTTCCTGGGGGACAGGAGGTACTGAGGGATGGACTCCAAGCTATGACGCTCTACCCGCTAACCCTCTCGTGTGGCCCTGCCTACTGACTCGGCTGCACCAGCTGTCACCAAGCTTTCTTTTGTCTGGAGAGGCAGCCAGGGCTTCTGGGGGAAGAGCAAGCCAGACCCACTGAGCCTTAATCCCCCCGAGATCAGCTCGAGGTTTGGAGCCCTGAGGTGTCGCTCGGGAGACTGTAGCCCTGGGCAATTGAGAGAGACAGAGAGTAGACTCTGTCCAAGACGCCAGGCCCTGGCAGACCTCAGGCTTGTTTTGGGACCTCAGGTCTACAGAGCGGGTGTCTGGTTAGGTCCTGATTCTGCAGCGTGTGTCTGGGTCTCTCCCTGCCACCCCCTGACCTGCAGCCTCCCGCATAGTCCTCATAGTCCCATAGGCAGATGGCTTTCTGAGGATTTAGTCACGGACTAAGTTGCCTGTCACCGGTGGGCCATCAGGAAGGGAGACGTGAGAAGGGCTTCATGGGGTGGGGCTTAGGGAGCTTGGGATGAGAAAGACACGGCATCTTGGGAAAGAGGACGGTACCATAGGGGAAAATACCACGACGACGACGTCCAGTGCAGGGAACAGAAATGCCAGCCTTAGCAGAGCCTGGATGTGAGGAGAAGGTGCTGCCTGGCGGTTCCGGCTGCCACACAGCTTCCCTCGTTCTGAGTCTCATCTGTGCGCTAGAGACAGAACCCCTGGCTACGAGCAGGCTGAGCAAGTCCACCGCGAGCCACATCCCAGCCCCTGGGGCCAGGCCGGCAGAAGGGGCCATGCTTGCCAGGTTCTTGAACAGAGAGGAGTCTGATAAAAGGGTGTCGGGAGGAAACGACCCTGGGGTGGGGTGAGCAGCCAAGAGCAGAAGATGAACCTTGGAGGGGGAAGGGACCCAGTCGGGAGGAGGCCAGACACCCCGGAAGAAGGAGGTGGTCAGAGCAGGTGCCTTAAAGAGACTGTGGTCCAAGGAGCAGAGCCCACACACAGGCAGGTTACACTCTGCTGAGCCTGGCTGTCTCCACCTATGAGGGGAGACCCTATCCCACGTCCCCAAGGCTGTGGGTAGCTGTCCTAGTCAGGGTGACTGTTGCTGTGAGGAAACACCATGACCAAAGCAACCTGGGGAGGAAAGGGTTTATCTGGCTGACACATCACTGTTCATCACTGAAGGAAGTCAGGACAGGAACTCAAGCAGGGCAGGAACCTGGAGGCAGGAGCTGAGGCAGAGGCCATGGAGGGTGCCGCTTACTGGCTTGCTCCTCATGGATTGTTCAGCCTGTTTTCTTATAGAACCCAGGACCACCAGCCCAGGGATGGCACCACCCACCATGGGCTGGGCCCTTCCCCATTAATCACTAATTAAGAAAATGCCCTCCAGGCTTGCCGACAGCCGGATCTTAGGGAGGCATTTTCTCAACTGAGACTCCCTTCTCTCTGCTGATTTTAGCTTGTGTCAAGTTGACCTAAAACTGCTGGGCGGTGGTGGCACACGCCTTTAATCCTGGCACTCAGGAGGCAGAAACAAGCGGATCTCTGTGAGTTCAAGGCCAGCCTGGGCTACAGAGTGAGTTCCAGGACAGGCTCCAAAGCCTGTTTTTTGAGCTATCTTGAAAAACCAAAAGAAAAGTTAACCTAAAACTATCCAGCACAGTGTGTGTGTGTGGGGGGGGGGGGGCTGGCATGATAGTGTCTGCATTCTCGGCGACAGCCTTTTCTCCAGCCTCAGCCCAGCTGCAGCCGAGCTACCAGGCCCCAGGCGTCAGGGGCCCTTTCCTCCGCTGCTAGTTCATCGTTCAGTCAGGGGAGCTCTGGGCATTGGAAAGCAGAGAGAGGGGAGGCAGAAGTCTCTGCTGAGGAAGGGTCCAGCAGGCCTCCTTTGCACCTTGGCTGCCTCACCAGTAAAATAGGGGTAAGAAGGAGTTTGGGCTGTGTCCCCCTGGGGAGGATATGGGTGCCAGGGCCACAAAGCCTACTCAACAGACGAGGCAAGAACATGACATTACATAGTACCCAGGCCAGCGCTGGCCCCTCTGCCACATTACCTGGACCCCAGCACCTGTCTCCCCACACACACCTGTGGCTGAGGCCAGGCAAACACAAGGCCACAGAGAATCGAATTCTCCTGCCCTTTGGAAAAGCTAGCGGCTGGGCACAGGGCCCAGGGAGCTGGCAGGGATTGCCCTAACGTGGCAGCCGTGGGGCTGCTGGGGATGTGGATGGGGCGGGAGGCCACTGAGGGCTGAAAGAGGAGGGATGGAGATTGGAGAAGGCTCTCCTGGGGTGGGGCCACCACCTGGGGTATAGGGTGTGGGCACAGGCCAGGGTGGGGACCCAGGCAGAGCAGGCTGTGGACACTGCCTTGGTAAATACCAAGGGCCCATGGCACACACGCGTGTTTGCACAGAAGGACTTGAAATGAATCCAGGCCTGCCCTCTGTCCCCCGAAACTCCAGACCCCCCCATCCCTGCCCACTCCACCCACCCTAACCTTTTCTTCCTTGTTACTTAAAGGATTCTTTGAAAGGAAGAGTTGGAACCAGAGGCAACACCTCCTCCTCTGTTGGCTTTCTCTCCCTGCAGGAGCCTGCAGGGCTGTGCCGGAGGGTGGGAGAGCTGGGCATTGAGCAGGGGGTGGGCACTGAGCAGGGGGGTGGGCACCGAGCAGAGGGGTGGGTACCGAGCAGGGGGGTGGGTACTGAGCAGGGGGTGGGCACTGAGCAGGGGGGTGGGTACTGAGCAGGGGGGGTGGGTACTGAGCAGGGGGATGGGCACTGAGCAGGGGGGTGGGCACTGAGCAGGGGTGGTGGGACAGAGCTGAAATTCACCTCGGCTGCATTCGTCAAGTTTTGCTGGTCCGAAAGAACAGGAAGCCGTTTCCTGGGTCGTGGGACGTTTTCAGACAGGTTAGCTGCAGCCCTTGAAGAATCCCAAGGGTTCGTCCAGTCTGGGCCTTTTCCTTTGCCCTGTGGTGGCCAGAGCCAGCTGCACAGTGGGCACTCGAGAGTGACCAGAGGTGGATCCAGGTGCCCTGGGCCTTCCCACAGCCGCATGTGCTGCGCACTGGCAGTTCCAGCACTTAGGAATTACAGCAGGCAGGGGGACCACGGTCTAGGCCAGCCTGCGCTGCATACGACCTTAAAAAGAATTGCCCCTCCACCTGCCCAGGCCCGATCTCACCCACACATCCACCTTATTGTCTTCCAGCCAGCCCTGTACTCACTGCCCAGTGACCCAGAAGCCCCCAGGCCTCTCCCAGGCCCAGCCCACTGCCTGCTGAGCCCCGAGTCTTATAACCAGCTTAGCGGCCCCCACAGAGCCAGGGCAACCATCAGACCCACCTTCCTTCTTCTCTGATTTCTTGCAGACGCAGCCACCAGCCTCGGCAGCGGCATGGGCAGCGCCAGCCCAGGCCTGAGCAATGTGTCCCCTGGCTGCCTGCTGCTGTCCCCAGATGTGGCACTGCGGACAGGTGTGGAGAAGGCGGAGGCAGGAGCAGTGGGTCCTGAGAAGCGGGACTGGAGCCCCAGCCCTCCCGCCACCCCTGAGCAGGGCCTGTCCGCTTTCTACCTCTCCTGCTTTAACATGTACCCTGAGGACGGCAGCTGGGTAGCCAAGGTCCCCGAGGCCAGTGCCAGGGAGGAGCCACTGGACGAGCCCGAGCAGTGTCCGGTCATCGACAGCCAGGCCTCGGCCAGCAGCCTGGATGAGCACTCATTAGAGCAGGTGCAGTCCATGGTGGTGGGCGAGGTCCTGAAGGACATCGAGACGGCGTGCAAGCTGCTCAACATCACAGCAGGTGAGACCCTCCCTGCCGCCTCCCCCGGGGACACTCACAGGGTGGGGATCCGCCAGATGGACTCTGATCACACTGGGCAGCCCAGGACACACAGCAACTGGAGCCAGGGCCAGGCCCAACCACACTTAGTGGATAAAGAGCGTTCACGTGCTGTTCCATTTAGCTCCCACCTTTCCTGGGACTCTGCTCCAGCCACTTGGTCTCCCTGCTTTTCCCACACCACTCACCCCAGGACCTTTGCACCTGCTGGACCTTCAACCTAGAATGCTTTCTCATAGAGATCCTCCTTAGCCCATCGCTGGCCTTCTTCGGGTCTTAACATGAGACCACCGATCCTCTGATGAGGTCGTCTCCCGCACCCCACCTCTTGCTCCCCCCCATTTTCTTGCTCTCACGATACAATTGAAAGGTCTGAGAGCATTTTTGTTCCCACCTCACTTGCTGTCTGTACCCCACTAAAGGATTTGGGTATCCCAGCTCCTAGACAGCACTGGACGTGAGAGGCCCTCAATAAACAACCACTGATTGGCTTCACCTGCCTGACCTCACCCTTCAGGGACTGGGGGACTAAGCAATGAACAGGGCGTAGAGGTCCCTGTGTGTGTGGAGCCGGCGTGATGGGTCATAATTAAACTGCTGAATGTGGCCCTAGTCAACTGGTAGGGAGGGCTGTGACGAGGAGGGGATACCAAGGAACAGACCGTGCGCGCGTGCGTGTGCGTGCGTGCGTGCGTGCGTGCGTGTGTGTGTGTGTGTGTGTGTGTGTGTGTGTGTGTGTGTGTGTGTGTGCCTGCCTGGTCTGGGGTGTGTCATGGAGCCAGTGCTCTAGGTGGGATGGCTGGGGGGGCAGAGAGTCCTGGCCTCCACCCTGTAGCATTCCAATAAGAGGGAGCCCTCACACTCAGCTCCTGCATGTCCCCCGTCCCTGCCCACCCCCCTCCCCCTCCCCCCCCATCTGCTTAGATGCTCCCAGGTGGTGTCCCCCTTTCAAGGCAGCTCTTGCCCAGAGCGCCTGCTCTCCACTTTCCCACACTCTGGAGAGCCCTACCCCAGGAGGCTCTCCCACGGTTCCTCTTCCCCCCTAGCGGCTTGGGAGGGCTGTACTCTCAGAACAATGGGGACAGAGACAAGTTGCATTGACCTCAGGGAGGAAAACGGCCTTACAACGTGGGAGCAGCTTAGCTTGCGGGTCACTCACCTGGGACACTGACCTGAACCAGCGTTCCCCTGGAGGCCTCACCGCCACTGTGACCCAGTCTGGTTCCAGCTGTGTGCCCCCGGGAGCAGTTTCCCAGGGGACACACACAGCTGGTGAATCCCTTCTCTACCCTTAGCCGATCCGGAGCCATTTGGGGCGGCTGCTACGAAACCAGCTGTTTGCTAATCACTGGACAGGGATGCACCCCGCCCCTCATGTGCCTCAGTTTCTTCATCTCTAAAATTCCAGGATGGAGGGGTTCCTGGGTGGGTTTTCTTCTTGAGAAGATTGTGGAAGGCAAGAGGTATCTGGCTGTTGGTGACTGAATGTCACTGTCCCCTTCAGAGCTAGTGTCTCTAGAAAGGCAGACACCTGGGCGTGATGGGGTGGCAGAGGCAGCAGGGCTGTGTTACGGCCATGGCTCTTCCTTCTCACTTCCTTTTCTGTGGAAGTGTCTGCCACCACAGGGCTCCTCAAGGCGCTGGACGTCCCCACCCTTAGGAGTGCATGGTTCCGGGCTGCAAAGCCCCGTGGGTGTTCCATCCCCCCATGGACAGTTGCCTTTGGGGTGGTGCCCGCCAGCAGTCCTGAGCGAAGATGCTGTCTCTTGCCCAGACCCTGGGGACTGGAGCCCTGGTAACGTGCAGAAGTGGCTGCTGTGGACAGAACACCAGTACCGGCTGCCTCCGGCCGGCAAGGCCTTCCAGGAGCTGGGCGGCAAGGAGCTGTGTGCCATGTCCGAGGAACAGTTCCGCCAGCGCGCACCCTTGGGCGGGGATGTGCTGCACGCACACCTGGACATCTGGAAGTCAGGTGAGACAGGAGACAGCCCAGGCCGAGTCCTGCCTCGCTCCAGGCCATTAGGTTGACCAGGCTGGCCTTGAACTTGTACCAATCCTCCTGCCTCTGCCTCCCGAGTGCTGAGATTACAGGCACACATCACCATGCCCCGCTCTTATTTTTCCTTCTAAAGGGAGCCCCCTTTTTAAGGTTAGCTTAATTTTTTATTAAAGAAGTCATGAAGACTATCAGGGTGGCTCAGTGGATAAAGGTGCTGGTCTCCAAGCTTGACATCTTGGGACCTGCATGGTAGGAGAGAATGGATCTCCCAAACTGTCCTCTGACTTCTACACGAGTGATGCCACACCTCTGTTTACACACTTGCACGGCACTGTCGTCTGCTCTTTTTTCCTCTTTGGCACTTTGGAGGAGTCTGTGTTTGCTCATTGGGTCAAGGCCCCTTTTCTTAGACGTCTGGGATGAATCGGGGGACTCTGAGTGGTCAGCGCCTGCCCCAGCCCAGGTGCCTGGCCAGTGGATGTCACCCGAGCAGAAGGGCTTTGTCCCTGGCTGATGGCCTAGCAGTGGGCAGAGGGGGTGGCCGAGTGGATGGCTGGAGGGATAGGCCTGGTGCAAACGCTGAGGCCTCCCTCAGCACCTGCCGCCTGGCCACAGCTCCAACGGGCATCCCAGTCCCATGTCAGTGAGCCAAGGGAAGCCCCTGCACATGGGGGCGACGCAGTCGCAGCTCTGACATCCTCACCCCCTTATTAGCACCTTGTTACTCTAGATAGGCAAGAGGCAGGGAGCTGTAGGACCCCAGCCACAGGGAGTCATCCAACCTCCCCTCCTTGTCCCACAGCGGCCTGGATGAAGGAGAGGACCTTGCCTGGGGCCCTTCACTACTGCGGTGAGCCGGGCAGGCGCAGGAAGGCCTGGTGGGGTTGAGGGAGGCTGCCTGGGGAAGCGGGTGGTCGCAGCGGCCACTCACCCTCGCCCCTGGCTTCCAGCCTCCACCAGCGAGGAGGGCTGGACAGACGGCGAGGTGGATTCGTCGTGCTCCGGGCAGCCCATCCACCTGTGGCAGTTCCTCAAAGAGCTGCTGCTCAAGCCCCACAGTTACGGCCGCTTCATCCGCTGGCTCAACAAGGAGAAAGGTGCGATCCGCGATCCACGATCCACGATCCACGATCCACGATCACCAGGGCGGGGCGGGGCTGGAAGGGGGCGTGACTTCTGTCAGAGGGACAGGTCGGTGGTGGGAGGGGCCAGAGCGGGAGGGTGGGGTTTATATAGGGCGGGGCTCCGGGCTTTGTGGGCGGGGCTCAGGCTGCTGAGAGGGGAGGGGCTGGGTTGGGGCTTGGCTTCTATACGAGGGGCAGGGTGGGGAAGGCAGGAAAGGTGAGGTTTTGTGGGATGAAACCCCTACACAGAGCGTGGGCAGGGCTGGACCGGGGCCTCAGTAGGAGTAGGTGCCACAGGTGATGGGCATAGGCCTTTAGCAGGGCTGCAGAGCATGGGCGGAGCTCCGATTGAGGCGGGGTTGGGGCGTGGCTCCAGCAGGGAGAGGTGCTGGGGGTGTGGCCTAGACTGACTCCGCCTTCACCCTGTGCCGAATGTCACTCAGAGATCTGCACCCCTCCAACTCCAAGGATTCTAAGGTTTAGGGTGCTGTTTGTATCCTTGTCGCCCCGTCCACCACCAGACTTCACCCTGGTACTGAGACTCCTTCAGCACCTCACAGTGTCTGGAACACAGTATGAACTTGAGAGTATTTGCTGCTGACAATGGAAAACATGGATGGCTTCAGCAGGGCATGGTGGCACAGGCCTTTAAGGCCAGCACTGGGCAGGCAGAGGCTGGCAGTGAATTTATGCCCACCCCAGTCTACATAGACAGAGATTGTCTAAAAAAAAAAAAAAAAAAAAAAACAGGACTGGAAAGTCGCCTCAGTTGTTAAGAGTATTTTTAGTCTTGCAGAGGACCAAGGTTCAATTCCCAGAACCACATGACTGTTCTGGAATCTCTCTAACGCCAGTACCAGGGGTCTGATGCCCCCCTCCGACCTCTGCAGGCACCAGGCACACACTTACAGACACGCAAACAAAACACTCATATACATGAAATAATAAAATAAATCTTTATAAAATCTTAAAAACCAGAAAACATCATGTTTTGGGGGTCAGTGAGACAGCCCAGTGAGGGCAGGCACTTGCTACCAAGCCTGAAGAACTGAGTTCAATCCCTATGGGATGGAAAGGGAAACAATTCCTGCAAATTGTCTTCTGACCTCCACATACCACATATAGGCACTCTGGAGCATGTGTCTGCTGACACACACTCACATGATCTCAAACAATAAATAAATGAATGTAAAAAATTAATATCAAGAAAAATCATAGCTTCAACCTAGAGACTCGTGGTTTTTATCAGAAACACGTGAGTCCCATATATGGCATTAGATGTTCTAGGTCCAGAATTGAAATGTTTAAAAACAAGTGAATTTCGCTTTAATGATATTGCCTGACCTTAATATAAAACTCCTAAATGCTCCCCAAATGTGAACTCTTTAGAACACTGTCGTGGATTTCTGGCCAGGAAAGCCTGTCAAATATTCCCAAATCCTAAAACTCCAAGCTGTGATGCAGTGCTGACCCCAAATTTCAGATTAGGGATCCTCGATCTGCATTTGATCTAATACTATGCTTAAGTTAGAATTTCAGCCAGTAATAAAAGTAAAAATTATTGAAATATATTTGCTAATGCCTGGTGTGGTGACACATGCCTTTAATCCCAGAACTCAAGGACAGCCAAGGCTATGTAAAGAGACCCTGTTTCAGAAAGAAAGAAAGAAAGAAAGAAAGAAAGAAAGAAAGAAAGAAAGAAAGAAAGAAAGAAAGAAAGAAAGAGAGAAAGAAAGAGGGGCTGGAGAGATGGCTCTGAGTTCAATTCCCAGCACCCATATGGTGGCCCACAACCATCTGTAATGAGATCTGGTGCCCTCTTCTGGCCTGCAGGGATACATGCAAACAGAACACTGCATACATAATAAATAAATAAATCTTTAGAAGAAAGAAAGAAAGAAAGAAAGAAAGAAAGAAAGAAAGAAAGAAAGAAAGAAGGAAGGAAGGAAGGAAGGAAGGAAGGAAGGAAGGAAGGAAGGAAG